ATAGACCAGGCTTCTCTCTTGGAGGCAAGTTCACCATGACCCACCACAGAACTTTGGATTTGAGAAATGACTGCAGAGGCAAGGGGCTGTGAATAGACTAGTGCATAAGAAGATGGCATGGAAGACCCCACTTGTGGTGGAGAAAGGTGTATGGGGACTGAGGCAGGAGTTAGAGGAGAGTCATGAAAGCTTGCATCAAATGGTGGCTTCCTGTGGCTCTTCCTGGAAGGTAATTCAGAATGGTTAGAGCTACTAGAACCTGGAAGGACTGAGCTGGGGTGGAGATGACTTGTTGCTGCAAAGGCAAGCGGGGGTGGCCCATGAACATCTGGGGCTGCCATACTAGCTGACCACAGCATATTATTTTGGTTGGGGATGTGACTGGTATAGCCAAGCTGTTTTATACCTGCTTGCCAGGAGGGGGCAGCCAGTCCATAGTAAATGCATGCAGGTCCACTGGAGAAGTTTGGAGATGGGGCAGAGCTGGCTGCAGGTGGGTGGAAGCTGTGAGGTTCCTTTGTCTTTAGGTTTGCACAGGCTGTGGCTGAACTCTCCATGGAAGCTGTGGCAAAAGGGTCAGAGGGTTGTCTCGGAGGGTCCAGCCAGCCCCTAGCATCCTTCCGGGGACTCTTTTTGAGCCCTTCCATCTGTGTTCCAGTCTGAGGAGGAGCTTTGCTAACAGAAGTCAGTGATCCAGCTGAGCCACTTGCAAGATGTGGGGCTTGGAGATGTAAGGGGCAGGATTGTGTACTTGTGAGACAATAAAACCAAGAGGCTTTCTTCATGTCTTCACCACTCCAGAGAGGGGCCAAGTTGGAGAATTTTCCTGGATGGGGGAGCCTGAAGTTGATCACAGGGGGAGCCATGGCTCCTGGAGGTGAGGACCACAGGCAGCACTGCTCTGCTCTGTGGGAAGCACTTGGGGTTGAGTTTAGGCTGTTTGTATCCCCTGCATCTGGATGGTGCCTATAGATGTGAGCAGACCCAGCTAGTTGCAACCCTGAAGGATGAGGGCAATTTATTCTCTCAGATGGGACCAAGCCAGGAAGATGTTTATGCAGCTGGGGATGGAGACATGGACTTTTAGTTCCCTTCTCCATGCTCCTGAGTGATCTGGCAATCTCCAGGTACTCATTGGGTGGACAGGGCTGGAAGAAAGCACCAACTCTGGCTTCCATGAAGTTGTGTGAGGCAGATTGTTCACCTTTGTCTGGCTCAGGGAAAGCCTTTCCCTCCATAATCTCACGTTTCTTTGGTGGCAGGCTGAGCTGGCTGTGCGGGAGCCATTCTGTCCGTGTTCTGCTCCTGTTCCCTGAGCAGCTGGAAGCTGCGGACAACTCATGTTCCTGAAGCATCTTGTGTAGGTACAAGGAAGACTTCACCCCTCCAGCTCTGAAGGCAAGAGCAGCTAGAGCAGGGCTGAGCACAGGATCGCATATGCAAAGAAACAGAACAGTTCCATGAGGCGGATGTGATATGTGACCACAGTCACGTATTGCTCCTGCAGCACTGCTGCTCTTGGTACCTATGCCGGAGCAGCTAAGCACCTCACAAGAGGTATGAACTTCTTCTCACAGCATCCCTATGAGACAAGGGCACACCACCCCCATTTCAGATGCAAAACTGAGGCACAGACAAATAACATGTGGTGCCCAAGGTGACACAGGAGGTCCGGTCAGAAGGAGACCTCTATTTCACCCCTGTTGTCTTAACCCATGTTTACTGGGCACTCTGTTTTAAATAACAAAATTTGTGGGAATGTAGTCAAAATCCCCAGCCCCACTCCCCTCACAAAGTCTGTCAATGTTTTCAAGAGTTCACAGAGATCTGAGTCTCTGAAATGCAGCCAAAGGCTTCCTTCAGACATATTAAAACCATCAGATACTCATTCCCCAGCTGAGACTCATCTGTAACATTGACAGCCCTGTCCGAATGACCATGCCTGGCTGCATGAGTGACTGGTGCCTCCTGAATCTGGGGGGGCATCTGCAGAAGCCGCTGACGGTGGCAGCCCTGTCGGGGGGGCACCAGCCCTACCAACAGGATCAGTGTTGGCCATCAGTGGGGGCACCAGCCCCGTCACCCCCTACCAGTTGCCTATGCCTGGTTGCCAAGAGGGAACATCATCCTGCACAAGATCATGGATGAAATGGATGCCCAGATCCCCTCATCTTCTTCCCTTCATCTTGAACAAAACCTATCACCATGAACAGAGACTCTGAGGTAGGCTTAGGCTCAGGGTGGGACCTCTGCTGTGCTCTACTGGTTCTGGGATCCCCTCTGGGGTGTGAAGCCCTTCCCAGGGAGAGGTCTGTCCAACAATTGATGAGGTTTTATTCACCAAAGCGCCCCCGGGGGTTACAAGAAATAATGGCCACAAGCTAGCAGAGAGCAGATTTAGACTAGACATTAGGAAGAACTTCTTCACAGTTAGAATGGCCAAGGTCTGGAACGGGCTCCCAAGGGAGGTGGTGCTCTCCCCTACCCTGGGGATCTTCAAGAGGAGGTTAGATAAGCATCTAGCTGGGGTCATCTGAACCCAGCGCTCTTTCCTGCCTATGCAGGGGGTTGGACTCGATGATCTATTAAGGTCCCTTCCAACCCTAGCATCTATGAATCTATGAACAGGGCATTTACAGGAGGGGATGCTACTCCCTTTCATCTGGTCAGAACTCATCAGCTGAACCAAATTAGTGCTCAGATCAAAGTGGAAACCCCAGACAGCTAAGATCAGTGCCCAAGGAGGCAGTGCAGCCACCGCAGGAGCTATCTCCAAGCCTGGCTTTTCTCCTCCCTGGCATCTGCTGCCCTTAAACCTCATCCCCAGAGCTTTCTCCTCTAAATCTTACCTTAAAAATTTCCCCTGAGCATCCAGTGTACCCCTCTGCCCTACTGGGTCTCCCTGCGCTGGGCTCCTGAATTATGTTACCCATCCCTGAGGACATCTGCTCTGCCCCAGGAGAACAGAGGGCTCTGAGTCCTACAGAGGTAGACATGTTCCCCGCAGGTCTTACTGCCAGCCCTGGCCTCCCTCCCACCTACTGCCCCTGAGATTCCTCAGACCCCTCTCAGAAATGGCAGTGGACTTTTTCTGCTGCCCAGGGCAGGCAGTGGGCAAGCAAGCGCCTTACCTGTGTTGTGGATCTCCAGCTGGGAAGGACCTGTAACAGGCTAGGCAGTTAGGAGCTTGCCCTGTCTGTCTGTGTCAAAGGCACTGAAGCACTGATGAAAAAGGTCACCCAGCTGCTCTGTGTGGGAGGCTTCCTCACATATACACATACTGCCTCCAGTGTCAGCCCAGGGACTTACTTTGAAGCAGCCAAACTAAGGGATTTGGGACCCCTTCTAAATACATGCTGGAGAGCTCTGCCACTAGGAAACATGAGCCCTTTCTCTGCGGGAGGAAGAGAGGGCAAGTGATGGCATTGGGATGGGGGTGGCTCAGGAAGCAGCCTATAGCACACAGGGTTTTCTGTGCCTTCTACAGAGCTTTACAAGGTGACCCCAGCTGCCAGCCTTGGTAATATGGGGGAGGGGAGAGCTGGCTTAGGGCCACCACAGATCCCAGCAGCACCTGCAAACAGCTCCATTTGAGCAAGGCAGGTGAAAACCTTGGCTCCTGCACATTGCTTTTGGGCAAAGTTTGGGTGCCCTTGCCGTGGGCCATGTTCACCATTGGTGTAACCCCAGTGAAATCCGGGGGCGGGGAAGCTTCCTGCATCTGGCTCTGCTCTCCCAGCACAGAGGTAGGTGGAGAAGCAGAGCTGAAACGGCCTCCATCAGCATCTGACATTTCATATGATGCTCTTTGTCTCCTGTGATGTAGCTAAGACTGACCAAGCGCTAGCACAGTCTCCAGCTCAGTGTGGCGCAGGTCTCAGTCATCTCAGAACTGAGCGCCGGGAACGGGGTGGGGAACCCCACTGAGTCAGTGAGGCAAGATGGTCGTTCAGGCCTGGGGACAGACCACGCTGTGTGGAAAATGTGGAAGATTGTGACCAAGTCTGTGGCTTGACCAGGTTAATAGGTGTCTCTAGATCAATTAGACAAAGGCCTTATCAGCTCATCTCCTGTCTCTGCACATGGGACCAGCTGTGCAGTGTGGTGCCTCAGGGTCAGGATGGGGATTTCCAATCAGTTGTGTGTGAAGCAGGTGGGTTGATTGTGGTTGTGCCTTAGTTCCTATCTGCTTTTCAATGCTCTCCTCATGCTGCTGTCAAGAACAGTAGGTGGCTAGAAGTGGGTCCCTTGATGTTGGTCTAATCACTAAGGAAAGGATGCTCACAGATGCTTTCTCACATGGTGCAGGTGGAAAGGCACCCCTGGATTCTTTAAGAACTCTCCTTGTCACTGAGCCCCTCTATCTTTCAGTACCTGTGCTAGGAACAGCTTGCTCTTCCTTCCCCCAGCTACTGTTGAGAGCAGCAGAAAAATGCCCCCAGAAGATCCCAAGTGGCTTTTCGTAAGACCTTGGAGGGTTTCCCTGAGGAGCTGGAGCCTGTGGGCTGCCATGCAGAGATCCACTGCTGGCAACTATGAGCTTTGTGCTTCGTTTTAACGAGGCAGATTTCACAAATAGACAAAGCAGCAGCTCTGCTTTGATGTTAAGAGGCTGTCTCCTCTTCCACCCCCAAGCCTGAAACTAGGCTGCTGTACAAGTCTTTTTGTGCCTCTGTGATGAATCAAGCGCTTGGTAACATCAAAGGGAGGAGGCAGGGAAAGTCAGAAAAAAGCAAGAGATTCAGACAAGGAGGTGACAGTAGGAGCTGCAAATAACACACGTGCTGAGTGCACACACACACGTTCTGGTGTGTACACATGCATGCACATGCACATAATGCTTCAAATCCAGCAGCATTACACACATGCCTGCAATAGTAGGCTACCCATGTGCAGGTGCCTTAAGATCCAGCTGCACTGCTAGAGACACACACCTGCATTAAATACGTGCAACAGACCAAATCACACTGGCACCCCCAACACATCCTGGGGTGCCGTAGGATTTTTTCAAGGGTGTCATGGGGTGCCAGAGGTGTGCAACACCTACATGTAATTTCCAAGATAAACCTGGAGGTTTCAAATAGGAAACCATAGTGTCAAAAATATTCTGACCTGCTGTGGTTTTGCTGAGTTCTTTGCAACAGAAGAATTGTATTGTTATTTTTCCATAGTCCAAAAACAAGGGAAAGCTAAGAGCTGGCATTTTCCCAGGGGTGCCTTGAGTCTAACCAGGGGTGTCTTGAGCCTAAAAGGTTGAGAACCACCATCCTAGATAAACTGTCCAGAATGTTATACCAGGATAGGCTGGGGAAGTATCAGTCTTACCAGTGTTTATTCCCCATGTCATCCAAAGATTAAGGGATAAATTAAGTCTTACTTTGACCTGCATTTCTGAGCAAAAACCCAGTTCTCCCCTCTGTGTCAGACCCTACCATACTGCCTGTAGGTACTTCAGCCCCCATCTAGAACTGCAGAAAGAATTCAGAGACATTCTTCTGTCAAACCTTGTGTACTCCAGTTCTGTGACCACCACCTGACCAGGATTCTTCATTGCAATCTTTGGAGCCATGGCTCAAGAGCAGGCATGGATCCCTGTCTCCAAGGCATTCCCCAGAGCTCAGCATTTGCCCCTTCATAGTCTCTTTGCATGAGGAGTCATGAGAATCATGGAGCTGCTAGGAGCTCTGTGAAAATAGCTTGTTTATGCTCATTATTCATTATTTGTATAGACTTTTCACTCCTATTGTTTGTTTCATTGTGGATTACATGGACAGAGCTATTTTCATTTTGTGAATGTGGAACCTGAGGCATGAAGAGATACATTGACCATTCCTAAGGTCCCACAGTGAGGTGGTTTCAACCTTGGATTGGGACATCCAAGGCTCTGAGCCCTGGCCATGCTGATTTGCTCTCTCCAATTGTGATCTGTCCCATCTGAAGGAAGGAGACAACCTCACTCCTGAAACAACAGCCTTCACTTTTCTCTTCCCCCTGGGTGCACTGCCCCCAATTTGTATGCCTCACCTTGCACCTCTCATTACTGACACCTGGTTTCTTGTGTCACAGACAAATGAGGTCACAGCCTCTGTCTGGATTGATATTACCCCAATGACTCCCAGACCTGGGAGGACCAGTGGCATCTCAGACCCCAGGGGAGGAGCAGCTAGTTTTTGGACTGCTGGTCTATCACAGAAGCTCTCATTTAAAGTTCTATGCTACCTTCTTGGAGTGATAATGAAGGCCCCTGGGAAAGGGAAAGCCCCTATGCAGCAGGTACAAATCCTTTAGAGACTGTAGAGATCCTCCTTCTCTGAGCATCCCTGGGACAGGGGTGGAGGATGAAACTTGAGCATTTACCCTTGGACTGAAATGATAAGGCTTTTTGGCTGAGGACCTTATTTCCTGGGTGCTGTATAATCCTGATCTCCACTAAGGGACTAAACCACTATTATAATGAAGAACTCATGGAGTGAGACAGTCCCTAGCTGCAGGTGGAGATATCTCAGGTGATGCTGTGTGTGCACCAGGTCTGGCCATCATAGCTTGTTCAATGTGGCAGTACCTTGTAGATTCCAAGTAGTTGGAGGAAAATTATCTATTAGGTCCATGTAGTTTAAGACTGCTTCCTCATGGGAAGATGCAGAATTGAACCCTGCCATGTATTCACCAGTGCTTTGTTCCTTTTGGTGTTAAATCATAGATTCAGGGGGTTGGAAGGGACCCCCCAGGGCCGTCTAGTCCAGTTGTTTTCAACCTTTTTTCATTTGCGGACCCCTAAAAAATTTTGAGTGGAGGTGCGGACCAGTTTGGAAATTTCAAATGTAGGTGTGGACCCCTTTGAATTGAAAGTGTGGGTATTTACATACTTTTGATTGATCCTGGTCATCCTTCACAGACCCCTTAGACACAGTCTGTGGACGCCCAGGGGTCTGCGGACCACAAGTTGAAAACCATTGGTTTAGTCTAATGCCCTGCCCGGATGCAGGATTCTCTATTCTTAAACTATCCCAGACACCTACCTCTCCAGCATCTTCTGGAAAACCGCCAGTGAAAGAGATTCCTTAGCTTCCCTAGGTAGCTTGCTTTGTTGTTCTTACCATTAGGAAGTTTTCCCTGAGACTGAATCTAACCTATTACCTCAGCTCTGTTCCATCATTTCCTTTCACAGATTGATGATGCTGAGGCAGGATCTTCCAGATTATGGCTACCTCATTCCAGTACTACCGAGACTGGAGCAAGTCAGTTGAGCAACAAGGTGCAAAAGAAGAACCATCTAAAGAAAGTAAGCAGCCTTGCATGGGCCAGCCCCTCTGTTACCTCCCAATGGGGCAGCAGAGAGGATGGCTTTGTGGGGTGTGTGCATGACAAACTCCTTGTTCCTAGCCTCTAGCAAGCTGAGCTGTAGTGAATGGACACCAACTGGTTGTGGGGTGCTGATTATCTCTAATTCCTCTTGGTTACTTGCTGGAGTTGAGAGGGTGGGTTAAAAGTTTGTATGTGTGTATCCCAGTGTTCCTTCTCTCATGAATCAGAGGGTTGCTGAGCCAGAAAGGCTGAATGAATGGATGTCTGTAGCCTGCACCTTGTGCTTCCTCCTCAGTCAGGGATAACCTCATTGGGTCAATATGTGCCCTCACCCTCATCATATAATTCAGCCTTCCATTCCAGTGGTCTCTGTCCCAACAGATACTCAAGAAGCTGTCACTGCTCAAGTTGATAAAGCAGGCTGATCGCAGGATCCTCCGGCTACGTGTATTGGCCAGCAGGTGCTGGAAGTTACTGACATTCAAGAAACCTGCCAGCCTTGCTCCTGGCCCTGCTGGGTAAGTCACTTGCCTACAGAATCCCTGACTTTGTCGAACCTTTGAAGGTGAAGAGAGGTGTTTATGAGCATGTGTCTGACTGCGAGGATGCACCAACCTGGATGAGGCTGTAGGGTGTGAGGCCTGAATGGGATTGTGTATCTCTGTTGGCTGGGTCAGGGAGTGTCCTCAGGTGCAGGAGAGAAGTGGGGTAGATGAAAGGTAGGGTAGGAGAGGAGAGAAGTGGGGTAGTTAGCGAGTGAATGAACTCACTAAGAATGTCCTGTGCCACCTGCCAGATGCAATGCCTCAGGGTTGCCCAGTCTGTCTCATGCTTCCAAACACCTATGAAAAAAAAAGAGTTGTGCACACAGCAGGTGGCTGGGAGGCAGGCTGGCCTGAGCCCTGCTCTTGGCTCTGCTACTGACTCATTGTGTGGCCATGGGCAAATCACTTCTCCCCTCTTCCTCAGCACCATTGTCTGTAAAACCAGGATAGCACTTGCTTGTTTTCCGAGCTGTTTGGGGGTGATGAAGTAATGTGTGTGTGGTGTTCTGGAGACAAAACAGGGTGAAAATGTCATGTATTAGCAGCAATAGCAATCTGTGGGCTTAGATCCAGCCTGTATCAGAGAAGGATCCAGACCATTGACTTCCTTGTTCCCCCAGGGACAGTTATTACTAGGAATTCCTACCACCCCAATTCTATATGGGCTCTCAGAACCTATGAGGCAACATCCCAGGCTGGCCAGGCCTCTTCCTAGCCACCCAGCAGGACCAGCTCTTCCTCTGTTTGTGGAGGCTTCATTGCAGCCCTTGGGGCACTCCTTCCCTTAGCCCTTCCATGTTTCCTTGTGGCATCTCTGCCTCCTGTGCACAGGGGCTGGGTTCCTTACTGCCATTCCAGGGAGCTGTGGTCCTAGTCATGTGCCTCTAGGAAGCTCTAGGGGTTAGAAGGGCCACGTGCTACCGGCTCTTCTGGATTCTGTTTGTGCTTAAAGCACTCTGGGGGAGAAAAATAATGACTTTTGGACTTTGGCTTAGGACAAGAATGTCCTCTATGGAGCCAAAGAAGCCTGGAGTGGATGCAGATACTAGTCCTGTTGTCAACACCACCACAGAGACTGATCCTGACATTACAGATGTGAGACCTACCACTCACCCCAATGTAGAGACTGCTCCTATTGTTGAGGATGCTGACCCTGTTACCATTGCTGGGGATGACATGGAGATAGATGCTGATATTGTGGATGCTAGACCTGCCTCTGAGGATGATATGATGACTGATGCTAACTTGGTGCTGTGTAACCCAGAGCCGCCCCTGGAGGTCCAGCCTGAGATTCAGGAGTGGAGGGCCTGTTTTGAAGGCCTGCCCCAGCGGCTCCATGTCCCTGCCCCCAAGGTGCTCTGCAGACCAGCTGTCCAGCGATGGATCAAACCGTGCTGTACTCGGTCCTGTGGCCAGACACTGGAGCACCCACCAACTGTCTGGTACCGGGAGTAACAAAACCTACTTCTGTAAGCTGTTAGTTCCACTCCCCCTGGGGTTGCCTAACTGGGATCCGTCTAGAACATGAAGCCTCAGCAGCTTCCTGTCCTTGGGTGAAGTAGGATCCTTCCAGATCCTGTCAGTGGCCAGAGGGAGTCACTGCTGAGGCCTTTGAGGTGCTTCCTATCCACGATGATGACTCTGGCCCCTGGGAGCAAGGGTTTGAGGGATTCTTGGCATTGGATTCTCTATATACCGCCACAACCCACCACAGAAGTTCTTATGCAATGCTTATGGTATATACCCATGTTCGTATACATTCAAAGGATCTGAGTGCCTGCTGTTTTCACCCCCCTGGCCAAGATTTCAGTGGAAGCAGAGCTAGCGTGCCCAATATCATCAAGGCCCCTCAGCCACTGTTCATGCTTTTCTTCAAAAGGGATCTGTTCCCTTTCTTAGCATGATGCTCTAGTCCCAGCTCTGCAGTACAGAGGGGCTGGGCCACCCAGGGTTAATCCAGTACAGCAGATACCCCAAGTGGCAGGATTTATGGTGTCTTCTTTTATCCTTTGCTAAGAATGCCCAGGCACTGCTGTGCCTGACTGGGTCACTAGCGGATCCTGTTCTTAATGGGGACTGTAATAATTACTGAGGACCCTAATCACATAACAGACTTTTAGCCTGGAGAATCCAGCTCGCTGCACTTGTTTCAAGAGTACATTTGTTTTTCCTTCCAGGTCCTTCCGAGCTGGGTGGAAACTGAGTTGAGCAATTGAAAGAGAGAGCTGCTGAGCGATACACTGAGCCATAATTCTATAAATAAAGGAAATAACTTGCATCCTTCAGACACAAAACTTGTCTCTGGTCTGAAGTCTGAGCACAGGCAGGTGTGCAGGGATACTTGGCATAGTGAGAAGGAATTGGACTGTGCCTCTTCTCTAGTCACTTACAATTCTAGGACAGGCCCAGTTCTTCCCTGCTGTGTCTCTGCTAGAGACACTGGCAGTATCCAAGGGAGATTTATGAGTTCATTATGCTAAATTTATATTATATCAAATGGGAATCAGAAAGTTTTCTTGACAGTAAATTCTCAACGGATCCTTTTAAATCTGGCATCCTGAGCTGAAGTTGTTTTTAGGATCTCCATACCTGTGGTGAGGAGTTTATTCTTGGGACAGTTCTCCATGTGAAAGCTCTTGTTATCTCAAGCCTGTGGCTCCTCTATATGTTCCCATACCCTTTCCCCATTTCCTGGGGCCCTTGATACCAGTCAGAGTCACTGTTAATGTGTGACAGGTGTAATATGATGTCACTAGGCTGAACTGTGACACTCCCAGGCCCATGAACGGATGTCATTGGTTAGAGGGAGCCCATCTGGGCAAAGGTTGGGTTCTGCTCCCACCCCCACCAATGTAAATGAGAAGTGTCCTTCAGCACCAGTGGAACAGCCCACACAGCAGTTGAATCTCTCTTCTGTGAGTGGTCCCATTGCCTGCAGGGAAGTCGCTGGAATGACTCGCTATATGTATAAAGTTAAACTCTTCTATAAGACTTTCCAAGACTGAACCCTAATGCTGCAAACCTGTAGACAAAACAATCTCACAGGCCTTGAGAGATCTCAGGGAGGAAATAAATGACTGAATTATGGAATTTTTAAGCATTGTTTCCATTGACTTAAGGCAACCTCTAATTGCTCTAAGAAACATGGGATACTGCAAAACCATTCCTGACAAACCCTTTGTTATTATAGGGTTGCTCATGAACTTTTAGTCTGTGCAGATCTATTGGGGTTTTCTTTATAATTTTATGTGTATTGTGGTTGTGGCTGGGGATCCTGATTGTGGATCCAGGCTCTGTTGGGCTTCGCTTTGTAGAAACACAGAACAGAGGGCTGCCCCAGAGAGCTTAAAATCAAGTCTGAAACAGGAGACAATGGGTGGATACAGTGAATAGACCTGCTACCTCCTCAGTGGTGGAGACACTGTGACAGAGGTGTGTTACTCTAGACTGCTTATGACTGTTCTTATGTTGCACAACTAAAACAAGCAGACTAACAGAAGCTTGTAAAGCAGTGATTATACTTGCAATCTGCATCAGAAGATACACTACGTGTATAATCACTACTTGTAAAGCAGTGATTATACCTGCAATCTGCATCAGAAAGGAGGCTCTTGAGCTGAAAGGGCTCATCTCTTTCCCCTTTAAGGATATGGGAAAGGCCGGTAGGTGGCACTCCAGAGTTATGTTATAACTCAATTCTGCTGAAAGACTTGGCCACTGGCCAGGTGTTCCAGCCACAGGGGAAAAGGCCAGCTCCTGTTCATCCTGCGGGTGCCACTGACTCACTGGGATCAACCACTGTGTTTGGTCCCTGCCATTCATTTGTCCTTCTGGACCTAGCGGACAGCTGCCAGCCCACCTGGTTTTCCTGTTAAGTCTGACTGGTTGAGGTGGGCAGACGTCCTTGAACTCAATGGACTTTGGATTGGGCCCTTGGCCAGCCTCCAGGCTTCCCTCTTGATGCCACCATTCTTGATACCCCCGATATCTCCCTTTCCTGCCCTGGAGTTTGTCCTTTATGCGTGCCATGCTTATTCAGCAACCCTCAGAGAAGTTCCTGCCCTGCCTGTCCTGAGGACTTGCTGGAAAGCCCATTTCTATAGAACACCTCCCAGCTGAGCTCAGTCTAGATCTGGGGTGCTCAACTCAGGGCTGCAAGCCAGATCTGGCCCCTAGCACTGTGTCATCTGGCCTGCCAGGCTTCCCTCAGGTCTAAAAATGTGGTGGCGGGGGAGCCAGTGGCACTATTCCTCTGCTACTGAATTTCCAAACCTCTAGGGAGCCCCCTGGGCTGGATAGTGTGGCCCTGCACACTAGATTGGGTGCATGGGGTAGGGCCCAATCCCACTATGCAAGGCTGGAAGGTGGTGGTGTGGGGCCAACCCTGGGGTATGGGGCCTGATGCTGCTATGTGGGGGAGGCATGAGGCCAAATGCTAGCATATGATAGTAGTGTGGGGCCTCAAGGACTTGATATCAGCACGAGGGCCCAGGTGGGAGCAGCAGGGAACCAGGGAGTACCTGGGGCCCAGCCAAAGCCACACTGGGCCCAAACTACTCATCTGGCCCCCAGGGCAAAAAGATTGAGCACCACTGAACTAGACAGCTCAACCCTGGTTGTGGGTTACCCATTCCCAGCCCCTTGGGGTTGTGTGAAGCTGCTTGTTGCTTGAAATTGTCTGGCTACCCTTCTACACAAATAAGTCCCAGTTGATGGGATATCTGCAAACTAGTCACTTCCATAATGGCTTCAGTCACTTGTGCTATGCAATTAAATGTTTGCTCTCCTGAGTCACAGGATGTGCCTGCCATCTGAGGAGTTGAATGCAATTTTTATATACAACAGGTGGGAGGGCAGTGAGCTTAAAGATGGAGAAACAAGCAAGTCACCTTCCCACATCCCATGAACCTTAGGCTAAACCTTCCCCCCTTGGGAATCGAGGGTTTCATGTTCCATAAGCACCTGTGGACTAGTAATAACTGGAACAACAAGAGATAAGGAATGTACTAGTTTATTTATGTGAATGTTCACAAGTATTCAGTATTTGGCCAGCTCTATATGCTTTGGGCTCTATATGCTCTATATGCCATACATTGCGTTTGCAGCACCCCACTTAATAGCCTTGCCTGGGACCTTCACATGGTAGTGATCTGCTGTGGCTGAGATGTCAACTACATGGCCATTAGTATTGATCTACATTGCAGTAATGCCTGGGAGCCCCAGAGTTGGAGCAGGACCTTGCAACGCTAGGTGCTACACAAACACAGACCTTGCCTGGAAGAGCTGACATCCTCAGAGGTGAGGGATGGATCCAGCCAGACTGAAGGGTTAGCACAAAAAAACAATGGGACAGTGGAGGTAAGTAGAGTCTGTGCCCACCTGGCCAACTGTCCTCACTGTCTTTGTACCAAAGATAAGTTTTCTGGAGTGATGTGGAGGGGGTTTGTGAGCATTTACAGGGAGTTTCTTAGGATCATGGAACACTGGGCTGGAAGGAATCTCACAAGGTCATATACTCCAACTCCCTGCTCAAGGCAAAAGCACCCCTAACCAACTCATCCCAGCCAAGTGCCTGCCCAGCCTGCTCTTGAAAACTTCCAGGGATGGTGATTTCCTGACATCTCGAGGCAGCCTGCTCCAACTTCCTTGCAGTCAGGCCTTCTGATGCGCCTACTGGATCATGGGCGTGGGCTTGTAGAGGAAGAAGGCTAAGGCTGCCTTAGCAGGCCACTGGGGACCATCAACTGAGTCTGGGGGACAACAGAAGAGGAAACGAATAGGAGAGAGGTCACAGGTTAATAACGAGTGCACTCAGTGGGGGCACGGAGCAGAGCGCAGCCCTCCAATGGGTCCGACTTCCTCCCAGCGGGCCACAACCAGAGCTACAAACCCCCTGGGTGAGGGGCTCCACTAAGGGGGGCATCCACAACTGCTTGGGACAAATAAACACAAAGCGAGGACTGGAGTGAAGGGCAAAGATTCAAACGAGTGCAGTGGGGGCCCTCCAACCCCTCCAAGGAGCCGGTGGACCGGCCCAGCGAGACCCGCGTGGAGCAGGGACAGGAAAATAGCTCCACAGTACCCGGGCCCGGCCGCAGCCTCCCCCTGGCCGGGGGCATCCCCGCTGGGGCGCGGCCGGGCTGG